GCCTCCATCTTCAGTCTTCCTGAGGCATCTGGAAGGCGGTGGCCTCAACTCCTCGGGGAAACGGGGTGGGGTGTATGGAAGTACAAAAATGAAAGATGAAAGCTAGAGGCTGTGCAAGAATGCCAGCTGTGCAGGGAATGGGCAGTGGGGAGGCAGAAGGTAAGCCCCCTGCTCTCCTCTCTGGGAGCATGTAGTAGCCGCTGGTTCTGTACAGACAGCCGTCCCCGGTGGGACTGAGCATTCAGACTTGGCTACTGGGTACACAGGTGACTCCCGGAGGGCGTGGGGATAGGAGCTCCTTGCTTATTGGGTGAGCTGGATATTCAGGAGGCATAAGACCTCTCGCTGGAGGAGCTGGGAGGGCCCACACAGTTGAGGAGGAGCCCCCGGTTCATGTCCTCCTGTTGGGAAACCCCAGGCAGGAAAGAGAGCAAACCACGCACGCCCAAGCAGGGCCCCTCCTCCCTTTCTGCCAGCTTCACAAGAACTTTGTAGTCCCAGCCATTGGCTGATTTCTTCTCTAAGCTATCTCCTCATCTTCTATAACTGGGTTTATTTTTTTCAGATTCTGTTTTTTTTTTTTTCAAGTTTGTTTGTTTGTTTGTTGGTTGGTCTGTTTTGAGATGGAGTTTTGCTCTTGTTGCCCAGGCTGGAGTGCAGTGGTGCGATCTTGGCTTACTGCAACCTCTGCCTCCCGGGTTCAAGTGATTCTCCCATCTCAGCCTCAGAGTAGCTGGGACTACAGGTGCCTACCACCAAACCCAGCTAATTTTTGCATTTTTAGTAGAGATGGGGTTTTACCATGTTGACAAGGCTGGTCTCGAACTCCTGACCTCAGGTGATCTACCCACCTCAGCCTCTCAAAGTGCTGGGATTACAGGCATGAGCCACCACACCTGGCCTTTTTCAAGCTTTAAGGTTTATCTTGTTGCAAAATATATATATATATATATATATATATATATATATATATATATATATATATAATTTTTTTTTTTTGAGAAAATGAAAGCCCTCCAGTAGATTCTTACCAGACATAGATTTAAAGTGATATGGCTCTGTGGCCCACAGAGGCTTTTGTGATCCAGACCTCAACACACGGCCCTCCCTCCATCCTTTCCCACACTCTCTGCTCCAGCCACATCTGGCTCCCAGCTTCTGGAAGGAGCCTGTATTTCTTTTCTTTTTTTCCTTTTTTTAATAGATAGGATCTCATTCTGTCACCCAGGCTAGAGGACAGTGGCATGATCATAGCACACTGCAGCCTTTAACTCCTGGGCTCAAGCAATCCTCCCGCCTCAGCCTCCCAAGTAGCTGGGGCTACAGGTGCATACCCCAGGCCAGGCTGCAATCCACATTCCTTCACTTGTGGCCTTTTCCTCCATCTTCAAAGCCAGCAATGGTGGGTTACATCCTTCTCAAACTCCCTTCTCTCTGGTCCTCTGCAGCTGATAGTCTCTGCTTTTCTGGATTTTGGCAGTTACATTGGGCCAACCCAAATAACCCAGATGACCTCCTTATCTCAGACATCCTTAACTTCATCACACCTGCAAAGTCTCTTTTGCCATATAAGGGAACATATTCACAGGTTCCAGAGATTAGGACAGAAACATGTTTAGGGAAACTTATTTAGGCTATCACGAGTGTTTGTCCGCTTATAAACATAGTCTCTGCCAGGCATGTTGGCTCATGTCTATAATCCTAGCATTTTGGAAGGCTGAGATGGGAGGATTGCTTGAGACCAGGAGTTCAAGACCAGCCTGGGCAACATCGCAAGACTCCATCTCTACTAAAAATAAAATTTAAAAAATTGGCTGGTCATGGTGGTAAGCGCTTATAGTCCTAGCTACTTCAGAGGCTGAGGCAAGCTTGAGCCCAGGAGTTTGAAGTTACTATGAGCTATCATTGTGCCACTGCACACTAGTCTGGGTGACAGAGGGAAACCCTGCCTCTTAACAACAACAAATGTAGTCTCATGTCTTAGATTAATCACAGCTACGAGCCTGACTTCATGTAAAATCTTCTCCATCCAGCTGTGGGCACAGGCTGGGACATCACAATTCTTTATGTCATCTCTCAAGATGCTCACCCCTATGTGGACAGGGACTCTGTTTCCTGTGCCTAGAACAGGCCTGATCTTTGCTCAGTAAACATTCAGCTCTCCATGCAGAAACGCACAGCATTGGGCTGGGCATGGTGGCTCACAACTATAATCCCAGCACTTTGGAAGGCTGAGGTGGGCAGATCACTTGAGGTCAGGAGTTCAAGACCAGCCTGGCCAACATGGTGAAACCCTATCTCTACTAAAGACATAAAAATTAGGCAGGTATGGTGGTGTGTGCCTATAAAAAAAGAAACGTATAACTCACAGTTCTGCAGGCTGGGAGTTCAAGAAGAAGGTGTGGCAGATTCAGCGTCCAGCGACAACACACTTCCTAGCTTATAGACAGTGCCTTCTTGCCATGTCCTCACACAGTAGAAGGCGTGAGGGCACTGTCTGAGGTCCCTTTTATAAGGGCTCTAATCCCACTCACAAGGCTCCACCCTCATGACCTCATAACCTCCCAAAGGCCCCACCTCCTAATACCATCCCCTAGAAGAGTAGGATTTTAACATGATTTTGAGGAGGGACACAAAAGTTGAGACCATAGCCAATGAGAACAGAAAAACGCCATCAGAGGGTGTACTGTTGGTGGAACTTACTATTCCATGGTCTTACCGAGATGAGCTCTGTTTAGATCAAGTCTCAAAAACAGCAGCCACTCTCACTAGGATGGCTATAATCAAAATTATAAAATAGGCTTGGCAAAGATATGGAGAAGTTAGAACCCTTGAACATTGCTGGTAGGAATATAAAATGATACCGCTGCTGTGGAAAACAGTTCAGTGGTTCCTCAAAAACTTGAAGATAGAAATACCATCTGACAGCCAGCCATGGTGGCTTGTGCCTATAATTCTAGTGCCTTGGGAGGCCAAGGCAGATAGATCACTTGAGGTCAGGGGTTTGAGACCAGCCTGGCCAACCCCATCTCTACTGAAAATACAAAAATTAGCCAGGTGTGGTGGCAGGCACCTGTAATCCCAGTTGCTCAGGAGGCTGAGGCAGGAGAATTGTTTGAACCCGGGAGGCAGAGATTGCACCACTATAATCCAGCCTGGGCAACAGAGCAAGACTCCATCTTGGGGGGAAAAAAAAAAAAAACCATCTGACCCAGCAATTCCACTTCTACATATACACCTCAAAGAACTGAAAACAGGAACCCAGCCAGGTGCAATGGCTCATGCCTGCAATCCCAGCACTTTGGGAAGCCAAGGTGGGAGGATCACTTGAGGCCAGGAGTTTGAGACCAGCCTGGGCAATAGAGTGAGACCTACCTCTACAAAAAACCAAAGATTAGCTGGCATGGTGGTGCATGCCTGTGGTCCCAGCTACTTGGGAGGCTGAGGTGGGAGGATCACTTATACCTAGGAATTGGAGGCTGCGGTGAGCTATGATTCCACCACTGCACTCCAGCCTGGGCAACAGAGCGAGACTCTATCTCAAAACAAAACAAAACAGGAACTCAAACAACTACTGGTACATAACACATGTTCATAGCAGCACTACTCACAGCAGACAAATAGTGGAAACAACCTAAATGTCCATTGATGGGTGAATCTCAGCCCATGCATACAATGGAATGGTATTCAGCCAGAAAAAGGAAAGAAAGGGCCATCCTGGTGGCTCACACCTGTAATCCCAGCACTTTGGGAGGCTGAGGCGGGTAGATCACTTGAGCTGAAGAGTTCAAGACCAGCCTGGCAACATAGTGTAACCCCATCTCCACAAAAAACACAAAGCATGGTGGCATGTGGCATGTGCCTGTGGTCCTAGCTACTCAGGAAGCTGAGGTGGGAGGATTGCTTGAGCTCAGGAGACGGTTGCAGTGAGCTGAGATTGCACCACTGCACTCCAGTCTGGATGACAGAGCAAGACCCTGTCCCCCAACCCCCACAAAAAGAGGAAGGAAATGTGGGAGCAGTGCTCATGCCTCTAATCCCAGCAATTTGGGAGGCTAAGGTGGGAGGATTGCTTGAGGCCAGGAATTCAAGACCAGTTTGGGCAACGTAGCGAGATTCTGCCTCAAAAAAATATTAAAAGAAAGAAAGGAATGATGCTACAACATCAGTGAACCTGGAAAGCATTATGCTGAGTGAAGGAAGGCAGGCACAAAAGGCCACATAACATATACTTCCATTTACATGAAGTATCCAGAACATGCAAATCCAGAGAGACAGAAACTAGATTAGTGGTTGCTAGGGGCTAGGGGGTGGGCAAAGGAGAGTGACCAGTTGTATTAGTCTGTTCTCATGTTGCTGTGAAGAACTGCCCAAGATTGGGTAATTTATAAAGGAAAGAGATTTAATTGACTCACAGTTCAACATGGCTCGAGAGGCCTCAGGGAACTTACAATCATGGCAGAAGGCCAAAGGGAAGCAGGGCACCTTGTTCGAAATGCGGCTGAGCGATGGGGGAAATGCCCCTTATAAAACCGTCAGATCTCGTAAGAACTCACTATCAGGAGAACGGCGTGGGAGAAACTACCCCCATGATACAGTTACCTCCATCTAGTCTATCCCTTGGGATTATGGAGATTACAATTTTAGATAAGATTTGGGTGGGGATATAAAGCCTAACCGTATCACCAATTAATGGATATGGGGTCTCCTTTTGGAATGATGAAAACATTTTGGGAGGAGACAGTGGTGATGGCTGCAGAGCACTGTGAATGTACCAAATGCCACTGAATTGTTTACTTTAAAATAGTTCATTTAATGTGATGTGAATTTCACCTCAATGGAAAACAACCAACCACCCTCAGCAGCATGGAGAAGCTCTGCCGGGGCCTTCCTCTATGTACATTTTCCTGACCATTCCAGAGTGCAGGAGCTGGCCTGGCAGTTCCAGGCAGGCCTCTGTGCCCCACTGAGCTGTGGCTACTGTTGTGCTTGTCCCCTAGCACCATCCTGCTGTACCACATCATGGCGTGGGGTCTGGCCACCCTGCTCTGCATGGAGGGAGCCGCCATGCTCTACTACCCTTCCGTGTCCAGGTAAGCTGGGACTCCAGTGCCCCAGGCAGCCCCATCCTTAGCTCAACATGTGTTCTCTTGCAGGGAATGCCTGAGCCCTGACCCACAGAGTGGACACCTTGGAGGTTAGGCCATTGTCTCAGGGCCATGTGAGGCCATGCTCATGGCCCAGCCCCAGAGGGCTGACTACAATAGCTAGGAGAATGCCCCTGGAGTCATCCTCCCTGCCTCTGCCTTTCTCATGTGTGTGCGTGGGTGCCCATGCACACAAGCATGTACACAAAGCTTCCGCATATTCCCCTCCATGTAAGTTGCATGCACAGTTTTAGGTGTATCCCCAGCCCCCATATTGGTACAGTTTCCTCATGCTTACTTTTACGTTTTTGGTCTTCAAGCTTCCTCTGGATGAGCAGGTAAGCTTAACATTCTAGGAATGAGTGTAGGATAAGAGGCCAAAGGGAGCGCTGGGCAGGGCCCATTCTCTAGCTTTGCTTCCTACGCTTTCTCAGTTCTCTTCCATCCTGCACACAGAGGGAGATGTGGCCGCTGGAACTGTCTCAGGCATTTCCTCAAGTTTACATTCCTGTCTGTGCAACTCTTAGTTGCAAAGCCAAGGTCTTTCCAAGGATATATACTCTAACTTCCAATGGGAAACAGAAGTGGACAGTGTCTGTGTCTGTGATTTTATACCAGGGATCAACACGGTGTAGGCCTCAGGACAAATCCAGCCTTCTTCTGTTTTTGTAAATAAAGTTTTATTGGAATAGAGTCACACTCATTTCTTTACGCACTATGACTGCTTTTGCACTGCAACATCAGTGTTGAGTAGTTGCCTCAGAGACCACGGTGTGAAAATATTTACTGTCTGTTCCTTCACAGAAAAAAATCTACAGAAAAAAATTGGTGTAGATCATTTCTCCCCCTCTTTTCCGGCTTCTTGTAGCTGCTCAGTTAGACGTCTCCAAATTGGTGTTGCCTTGTCAATCATGAATACAAGCAGGAAGCTCAGTATGTAGATCCATCCGTACAGCTTGTTTTCCTGGGTAACTTTAAAAGGACAGATGCAGTGTCAGCAGCTGTTATAACGAAATGCACTTAGTTGGAAAGGGAGTTTCTGTTGCTCTCCCTTGCCTGTGGGACCCTGGAGACTCCTGGCAAAGTTGCATCTGAGCCTGAGGGCGCCATTGCTGCAGGGCGCACAGGGAGCCCTGAGGTGCTCCCAGGGTCTTTGGGAGCTGCTCCTTTTAAGCCTCTTATCCTCAATCATCATTTCATTTTCACATCACCTGACCCAGGGCACTTGGCATTCTTCATGCTCACAGTCTCACTCTCTTGTTATTTCCTTTCTGTCTTTGCGTCGGAGTCACTTCTCTTTCTCCTCGTTTCTCTTTCTCCTTGCAAGCCTTTCCAGATCGAATTTAGCCTCTAGAGCTGAAGATAAAACAGCCTGTTAAAAGAAGGTGGCAGCGTTGAGAGGTGGTATAGTAATCCTTCTTATGGCAAGAGGAGATGAGTGTTGCATTTTTCCTATCTGATTTTATTTTTTACATTTTCTGCCTATTTCCCCTCTGGTTTGACCATTCTGTGAACATTAAGGGTGCTTTAATTTATTTTTGTCATTTCCCCTTCCATGGCCATGAGGCTGTTTGGTCAGCTGCTTTTCGCCTCCCTCTTTGGTTGAGCCGGAGCAGACCTCCCTCCCCTTTGCCTTCAGTTTCCTTTTCCTCCATGCCATTTTGCTTCTCTCCTACATTAAGCATTTCCCAGCTGAGAGTTGTTACCTTGGTAACATACATGTGTGGGGCCCTCCATCACACTCTATGGTGACCAATGATTCCTGTGACCCCTCAGTAGAAATCTTTGTCCTTTTCCCTGACAAGAATCTCTGAAACTATTGTTATCCATAACCATAGGAACACATTTCCTCTGAAATATTCAGCTGGTGTATTTTGAGTTGTTCAAGCCCAGGGACCGGATCTTATTCATGTTATTGCCCAAAACCGCGTAGTAAGTACTCAAAACCTAACTACTTAATGGAGTACCTTGGTTTCTACTTGAATTGCATTTTTTCCTTGAGACCCAATGCAGGGAATCCCTCATCTCAGTGTGTTTTCCTTTCCGATCCTTTCTCAGCAGTAAACTTTAAAAGCTTCCTCCAGTGGAATGCCTTAGGGATCCTGCCATTTATGAGACAGAAGCATGGTTGATCTCCCTTACTCTCCTGCAATTTACTGCTTGTTCCAGACATGAGAAATGACTCACACTTCCTTTGGGCAGTCAGAAGCAGATTTATGCATTTCCCTTTTCATTCTCATCCTCTTATCTTGACTTCCAGATAAGTAGATGTCTTTTAGCCAAAGCTTTGCTTTTAAGAATGACTTGGTTTTCCTCTCTCAGGTGTGAGCGGGGTCTGGACCACGCCATCCCCCACTATGTCACCATGTACCTGCCCCTGCTGCTGGTTCTCGTGGCCAACCCCATCCTGTTCCAAAAGACAGTGACTGCAGGTAAATTCTAGGGCATTTAGTGGGTACACGGCCACTGGGAGCAGCCCTATGCCTTGGGCTCAGACGGTGACACATGTTGTCCTGGAATTATCCAGGGCAGTTGACCTCATTTGTCATCCCCCAGAGATATCAGCAGAACACAGCTGCAGAAAGTGAGCAAGTTCAGTAAATGACAGTGTGCAGGCCTTTGCACAAGTTGTGTGCCATCGTTTGTTAGCTCAGTGCCAGGACTAGTTGACTCTTCACTTCCGTGCTGGGCTCTTCTTGGATCGGCCACAGGAGTGCCCTTTGATGATTGTGGAGGTAGGAGAGGAACAGAAGGAGAAGAGAGGGGAGGGGGAAGGGACTGAAGGAAAAGAGAGAGGAGGGGGAAGGGACTGAGTGCTAACTGAGGTGGCTCCAGTCCCATAATGCACTTGGCTGACGTTTTTTCTCAGACAGGCAGGAAACAGGAAGTGGAGCACAGGAAATGAGTCAAGGTCAATGGTTAGAAAAGGATAAGAGGAGTGAAGTCGTCGACAGCATGTCTGGGAAAGACTTCTAGGCTGGGGCTGGGGACCTGCAGTTCAGCCCCTACTTTACCCTCAAGGACGTGTGTCCTGGAGTGAGCCTCCCGCCTCCTCAGACTGCCAGGGATCTCTCAAGGGCAGAATGGGAATAAGGAAATTTGCCTTAACTGAGAGGTCTTTTTAGGATCACTTGTTAATTGTCGAACTTTTAAAAAACGTTGTTCAGAGTACTCTATCACTGGTAATAGGAAATTATTGTGGTTCTTTGGACCAGTCTCTTCATATCCCCTTTTTTTTTCTTTTTATTGAGATGGAGTCTTGCTCTGTCACCCAGGCTAGAGTGCAGTGGCGTGATGTTGGCTCACTGCAATGCCTATGTTCAAGCGATTCTCATGTCTCAGCCTCCTGGGTAGCTGGGACTACAGATGTGTGACACCATGCCCGGCTAATTCTTTTGTATTTTTAGTAGAAACAGAGTTTCACCATGTTGGCCAGGCTGGTCTCGAACTCTTGACTTCAGGTGATCCACCTGCTTCCCAAAGTGCTGGGATTATAGGCATGAGCCACCATGCCCAGAACATATCTACATTTAAATATAGTGTGTTAAATATAGCATTTTAAAACAAAATCTCATAAAAAATAGTGATTTGAGCTCATAAAACACGTGGAAATGACTTATAGAAAAAAGACTGAAAAGAAATACACTAAGATGTTAACAGTGGTTATCTCTGGGAGGAGGGACCATGGTCATTCATACTTCTCTAAACTTCTAAATGTTTTCTAACGTGTCTATAAAATTCAAAATTTTTTTAATACTTTAACAAGTGTGGACTATTTTTATTTTTAGTTGTTTGAGATGGAGTTTCACTCTTTTGCCCAGGCTGGAGTAAAGTGGTGCAATCTTGGCTCACTGCAACCTCTGCCTCCTGGGTTCAAGTGATTCTCCTGCCTCAGCTTCCCGTAGCTGGGATTATAGGCACTCACCACTACACCAGGCTAATTTTTGTATTTTTAGTAGAGATAGGGTTTCGCCATGTCGGCCAGGCTGGTCTCGAACTCCTGACCTCAAATGATCCACCCACCTTGACCTCCCAAGTGCTGAGATTACAGGCTCGAGCTACTGTACCCAGTCAAAATTGGGAGTTTAGTCCATACTGATGTACCAGCATTAATTTCATAATTGTGAATAACATCCCCATGTTTGCATAAGATGCTAATATTGAAGGGAATCTGGGTAAAGGGTAGGGGTATACAGGGACTCTCTGTGCCATCTTTGCAAATTTTATGTAAATCTAAAATTATTTCAAAATAAAAGTTTAAAAATATATATCTTCCTTAGGGTCTATGAGGACTCCAACCTGCAATTGTGAGGAATGAATGTCAGTGACTTGCTTTGCTTCCTGCCCCTCTGGCTTTGCTTGTGGGCTCACATCTGCTTCCATTGCCTTCTCTGTCACTCAGTAAACATGAATAATAAACACTGCGTGTAGTTCTTTCTGTTCTTCACAGTGGCCTCTTTACTGAAAGGAAGACAAGGCATTTACACAGAGAACGAGAGAAGGATGGGAGCCATGATCAAGATCCGGTTTTTCAAAATAATGCTGGTTTTAATTATTTGGTAACCTTTCTTCTGTATATACGTATAGTCATTGCTAGTGGGAAGGGCTATGGAAACAACTTGCCATGTTGCATGCATGAGCAGAAGTTCCAAAGGGAAGAGACTTTGGGAAGGAGATCTTTGAGACTGTGCTAGGTACCCTTTGAGGAAAGGCACAGAGGACAGGGGAACAAGAAATTCATGAATTTCTGGAAAAACATTCAAAGCGACTCAAATTATATATAAAGCCCTTAGAACACAAATGCCCAAATCTAGTTTTGAAATGTCCCAACCATGTGCATTGCTGGAGTTAACCAAAACAAAGGGGCTGGGTTTTTGTTTTTTTTTTTTTTTTTTTTTTTTTCTTTTGAGACAGGATCTTTCTCTGTCACCCAGGCTCCCAGGCTGGAGTGCAGTGGCACAATCACAGCTCACTGCAGCCTTGACTTTTAGGGCTCAAGTGATCTTCTCACTTGATCTTCTCACCTCAGCCTCCTAAGTATTCTCACTCTGTTGCCCAGGCTGGAGTGCAATGGCGTGATCTTGGCTCGCTGCAACCTCTGCCTCTTGGGTGCAAGTGATTCTCCTGCCTCAGCCTCCCGAGTAGCTGGGATTACAGGTGTGTGCCACTATGCCCAGCTAATTTTTGTATGCTTAGTAGAGTTGAGGTTTCCCCATTTTGGCCAGGCTGATCTCAAACTCCTGACCTCAAGTGATCCACCTGCCTTGGCCTCCCAAAGTGCTGGGATTACACGTTTGAGCCACTGCACCCAGCCCGAATTGTTTATATTTTTTTTGTAGAGGTGGGGTCTCGCTTTGTTGCCCAAGCTGGTCTTGAACTCCTGGGCTCAGTGGATTCTCCTGCCTCAACCTCTCAAAGTGCTGGGGTTACAGGCATGAGCCACTACACTCAGCCAGTCATGCTTTATAAATTCACCCATTTGCCTCACTCTTGACACCAGAATTCCTGTATCTGACTGAGGGGCAAGGGCACATCTTTGGTCAAGAAGGTTGGAGAAGAGGCTGAGCAGTTTGTCTTTCCTCATTTTTCCCCACCACTGGTATCCTGTCCAAACCTTTCAGGTGGATGCTTTGAAAATAGGCCTGTAACCAATGCAAGAAAAAAAAAAAAAGATTGAAATCAGAACATACTGCACTGTGGCGAATCTACCTTGCAGGACAGGGCAAGTAGTTGTAGAAATTCCATTTGACCCAGCAATCCCATTACTGGGTATATATCCAAAGGATTATAAATCGTTCTACTATAAGGACATGTGCACACGAATGTTCATTGCAGCACTGTTTACAATAGCAAAGACCTGGAACCAACCCAAATGCCCATTGATGATAGACTGGACAGGGAAAATGTGGCATATATACACCATGGAATACTATGCAGCCATCAAAAACGATGAGTTCACGTCCTTTGTAGGGACATGGATGAAACTGGAAACCATCATTCTCAGCAAACTGACACAAGAACAGAAAATCAAACACCGCATGTTCTCACTCATAGGGGGGTGTTGAACAATGAGAACACATGGACACAGGGAGGGGAGCACTACACACTGGGGTCCGTTGGGGGGAAATAGGGGAGGGACAGTGGGGGGTGGGGAATTGGGGAGAGAGAGCATGGGGAGAAATGCCAGATATAGGTGATAGGAAGGCAGCAAATCACGCTGCCATGTGTGTATCTATGCAACAATCTTGCATGTTCTTCACATGTACCCCAAAACCTAAAATGCAATTAAAAAAAAATTCACCTGTGCTGGTTGTGGCAGCTCACGCCTGCAATCTCAGCACTTTGGTAGTTGGAGGCAGGCGTATTCCTTGAGGCCAGGAGTTCAAAACTATCCTGGGCAATTTAGTGAGACACCACTTAGCAACAACAACAAAAATCAGCCAGGTATGGTGGCACATGCCTGCAGTCCCAGCTACTCAGGAGGCTGAGGCAGGAGGATCACTCGAGCCTAGGAGTTCAAGGCTACAGGGAGCTATGATCATGCCACTGCTCTCCAGCCTGTGTGACAGAGCAAAACCTTGAGTCTAAAAAATAATAGTAATCATAAATCACCCGATATGAGCTTTGTTAGGACACCTTTTTTGGAGATATAGAAATCATCTCCTACTAAAAATACACTCAGCTCAACATTTCATATTTCACTGAGCCACCTAAAGGAACATTGAAAAATTCTAACATAAAATGTCAAGAAAAAATAGGTTTGATCTCCACCAAAACTGTGAGTTGCTCTTCAAACAAAGAATGAATTCTGGGTTATTTGATGCAGTGCTAGAATCTTACACCCAGATGTGGTATTGAGTGTTGCTGCTGAAAGGATTTGCTGATCTGCGCTTTAGACTGAGAAAACAAATTCTATTTTTTAAATTAAATTCTTAGTGTGCTGGCTCCCCTTACTGTGCTGGTTCCTCTTAGTTTCATTTCATTTCTTTTTTTTTCTTCTTCTTCTTCTTTTTGAGACAGGGTCTCACTTTGTCCCTCAGGCTGGAGTGCAGTGGTACATTCATAGCCCACTGCAGCCTCAATCTCTTGGGCTCAAGCGATCCTCCCACCCCAGGCTCCCAAGTAGCTGGGACTACAGGTGCACACCACAACATCTGGTCAATTTTTTTATTATTATTTTTAGTAGAGACGAATTTCACTGTGTTGCCCAGGCTGGTCTCAAACTTTTGGGCTCAAGCAATCCTCCTGCCTCAGTCTCCCGAAGTGCTGGGATTACAGGCAGAAGCCACCACACCCCACCCTCCTAGTTTCTTACTGCAGAAGTGGTCATGTCTGTACCGAGAGCTAGTACTTTTAGGTCTTGGTAGAAATTCTTCTTTGACCCACCCCAGCATTTGAAAATGAGTTTCATTGCATCTTCTCTTTACTTGCTGCCATTTTCTTTCCAACAGTTGGTTGTCGAATATCATCAATGAAAGCCTTTTATTCTATCTTGAGATGCAAACAGATATCAATGGAGGTTCTTTGAAACCTGTCAGAACTGCAGCCAAGACCACATGGTTTATTATGGTAGGTCAATCTTTATTTTATTCGAATTAGTTAATTATTTAATTAATTTATTTGTTTTAGAGATGTCTCACTCTGTCACCCAGGCTGGAAAGCAGTGGCACGATCATAGCTCACTGCAGTCTCAAACTCCCGGGCTAAAGCAATCCTCTGTCTCAGCCTCCTGAGTAACTGGGACTACAGGCATATGCCACCACACTGGGCAATGTAGGGAGACCCCATCTCTCTTTTTTTTTTAATTACCTAGATTTAACATTTTCTGTTTGAAAAAAGTCAGAAGAAAAAGAAGCAGTCAGAAGTACAATATATTGTATTTAAATACAGGAGAAGTTAAATAGGCTCCTGGCCTTAGTGTGCTGGCTGGGTGTTTTGTTTGTTGTTGGGATCGTTATTAAATGCTTCACCTCTGGTCAATCAGTTTGGCATAGTGTATCAAAGCTCCTGGCAGTCTCACGATATCAGAGCATGGATCTTGAAGGACCGTTTCAGACTATGAAAAAGCCACACAGATGAAGATATTCCTGGTAGCACTATCCTTCATAATTGTAAAGCATTATGGGCAACCCAAATTTCAAAAAAAAAAAAAAAAAAAAAAAGAGATGGTTAAGTAAATCATGGTCTTTCATCTTGATGGAATATTACTCAGATGTTAAAAATGATGATTATGAAATCTCTGGTATTAACTGGAAAATATAATATATACAATTATACCGATTACAACTACAGAAAAACATGATTATCTTTTCTTCAAGGGGGAAACAATGAAAAGCAAAGAAATAAAACAGAAAAACATACGTGTATGGAAAGGTATTGGCGGACATACAGGAAGTGGTGGTGGGGTAGAGGCACTATGGACAGACCACACCAGCGCTCTCTTCTCTCACCTTTATAAGAAGAAATGCACATGTGTTGTTGGCAGGGAGATACATACTCTCTGTTCTACACAGAATCCGTATTTGTATCGCTTTTGAAATGGGGAAAGTCTCATTCACAAAGACTTTCAAATGGAACCAACACTGGCCCTTCCGTCCCTGCATGTGGTTTGGAGCTTGGCTGGGTTCCTCTGGTGAACTTTATATGTCCTCAGCAAACACGAGTGGAAGGATGTTTCCCAGACTCTGCCTGAGCCTCGGGAACCTTTATCATATCAAGTGCTCCCTTGGCAGCACAGGGTGGCAAACTGTGGAGAACAGGAGCCCCCAGGCTGCGGGAGGAGCTGGCTGTTCAGTCCTTGCACCACGGTGCTCCCTCCCCTCCTCTCCCACTCCTGGCCTCTTCTCCTCCCCCACCCTCCCCTCTCTCTTTCTCCTTCTCCTGCCCTCCCTCCTCTCTCATCCTCTGTCCCTTCTCTTCCCTTCTCTCCTCCAGCTCCTCCTGCCCCCTCCTCTCCCCACCCCCACTATTTTCAGACACTCTTGAGTGTACAGCACCTACTGTGCCCAATCTTCGTCTTGCCCCAAATCAACCCACCAACCAGCCACCAGCCAACCCATGGTCACTTCCAAGCCAGGCCAGCCCTGTGGGCATGCTGAGGGGAGTGCCGCTCTGTGACAGCCCAGGGCTCTGACTCCTGCTGTGCTGCACTGACTGCCCTGTGTCTTTCTGTCCTCTCCCCAGGGAATCCTGAATCCAGCCCAGGGATTTCTCTTGTCTTTGGCCTTCTATGGCTGGACAGGATGCAGCCTGGGTTTTCAGTCTTCCAGGAAGGAGATCCAGTGGGAATCACTGACCACCTCAGCTGCTGAGGGGGCTTACCCATCCCTAGCGGACTCCCTCGTGCCCCATGAAAATCCTGCTTCCAGGAAGGTGTCTCGTGTAGGTGGGCAGACTTCTGACGAAGCCCTGAGCATGCTGTCTGAAGGTAATGCCCTGTCTGTCACAGCAGGTAGACTTTGGGCCCCAGGGTTCCCCTTAAAAAGCCTTGGAGGATTCTTTGTCCTGGGGTCTGTCATGTGTGTGGTGGGTATTTAGCAGCACCCCTCATGTGGACTCAGTAGCTGCCAGTTGCAACCCCCACCAACTGTGACAACCAATACTCCTTCCAGACATTGACAAATGTCTCCTGGGGGGCCACAGTAGCCCCCAGTTCACAACCAGTATCTCAGAATCGTTAGGCTTGGATCTAAAAATGCATTTTTCCCCCCAGATGTTGTCTTAGCTAAAGGCACACACACACAAAACCAAAGACAAACACCATACAACCCCATGTGGGAGGTACCAAAATAATGTTGAAATTTGCAGTAAGAAAAATAATATGCAAAAAGATGTTTAGAAATGGCTTATTTTCTTTTCCATTCCTACGATTCAAATACATTGAAGGGGGGTCAAGGCGGGTGGATCACCTGAGGTCAGGAGTTCAAGACCAGCCTGACCAACATGGTGAAATTCCATCTCTACTAAAAATATAAAATTAGCTGGGCATGGTGGCTCATGCCTGTAATCCTAATGCCAGCACTTTGGGAGGCCAAGGTGGGTGGATCATCTGAGGTCAAGAATTCCAGACCAGCCTGACCAACATGGTGAAACCCCATCTCTACAAAAAATACACAATTAGCTGTCATGTGTAGTGCATGCCTGTAATCGCAGCTACTTGGGAGACTGAGGCAGGAGAATCACTTGAACCTGGGACGAGGAGGTTGCAGTGAGCTGAGATTGCACCATTGTACTCCAGCCTGGGCAACAAGAGTGAAACTCCGTCTCAAAAAATAAAAACAGAAACAAAAATATTTGGAATGAAGGTTCACTTTCAGGCGACAAGTTTGGTTTACTTTGAAGGCTAAAAGACATGGTAATGAATTAATGGACTGATTCCATGATTCAGTACTGTTGGGAGCCACGAAGGGAAAGAGACATAGTTCTGGCTGAAGCTAAAAGACAGAGAGAGTATATATTTACAGGCTTTCCATCTGGTACAAATAGTTCACGAAGGATGAGGGACCCACCTGCTGGAGCTGCTGTTAGTCTGTAGAGTTACTGATACCATCTGGGGAATGAAGCAAAAAAATATTATCTTGAATTATTTGGCTTTGTATTCCCATCCTGGTGTTTTAAAGCAGCAGAGCAGATATTTGACAGTCAAATAAAACACTAGAAATAACAATAAAAGTCCCCTGCACCCCACCCCAATCACCAACAAACAAAATCCATCAGCATTTCCTTACTTCCCCTCCTTCCAGCAAGCTGTTGCCTAGATTTGCTGCTCAAAGGTTGGATGTTTTCACATAGAGGTTTTAGAAAAAGCAAATAAAGATCCAATAGAAAAATAAGCAGGGCAGCCATCCCAGAAGGCTGATCTCTTTGAGGGCTCCCTGTTTTTGTTTTTTTTTTTTTTTGAGACAGGGTCCCCTTCTATCACCCAGGATAGAGTGTAGCAGAAGGAACACGGCTCACTACAGTCTCCACCTTCTGGCTCAAGTGATCCTTCCACCTGAGACTCCTGAGTAGCTGGGACTACAGGCACATACCGCCATGCCTGGCTAAGTTTATTTTATGGTTTTTGGAGAAAATTAGTTTTTTTGGAGAAATGGGGTCCCATTATGCTGCCCAGGCTTAATTCTTTTTAGATTAATGTATACAAATTCCTGCAAATGTGCTCTCTCTGGGGTCTCAAGTGGTCCTCCCGCCTCAGCCTCCCAAAGTGCTGGGATAATAGGCTTGAGCCACTGCACCCAGCCCCTTAGCTTTTTTAAACAATTGAGATATAATTCATATGCCATAAACTTCACCCCTTAAAATGGCACATTTCAGTGGTTGTGCACACATTACCGCTGTCTAAGTCACAACATGTTATCACTGCAGAAAGAGACCCTGTGCCCGCCATGAGTCATTTCCCATCTCTTCTCCCCAGCCCGTGGCAACATGAATCTTTTCTGTGTCTGTGGCTTTGCTGTGCTGGACCTCACATAGAAAGGGCATTGTGTAATCTTTGTCCTGTTGTGTCTGGTTTCTTTGACTTTGGATGTGTTTTCTAGATTCACCTATGTTGTAGCAAGTGTCAGAACTTCATTCTTTTTATGGATTGATAATATTTCACTGTATGGATATATTTATTTATTGATTGATTTACTTTTTTGAGACTGGGTCTCACTCTGTGGTCCAGGCTGGAGGGCAGTGGAACAAACACGGCTCACTGCAGCCTTGACCTCCTGGGCTCAAGTGATCCTTCCACCTCAGCCTCCTGAGTAGCTAGGACCACAGGCGAGTGCCACCACATCCTGCTAATTTTGTTTGGTTTTGTGTCTTTTTTCATTTTATTTTGTAGAGCTGGGGTCTCCCTATGTTGCCCAGGTTGATCTTAAACTTCTGGCTTCAAATGATCCTCCCACCTTGGCCTCCCAAAGTGCTGGGATTATAGGCCTGAGCCACTGCGCCTGGCCCATTCTTATTCTGTTAATAACTCCTTATGACTGCCCAAAACTCTAAGAGGCTGTGTACTAGGAGCTGAGTGGGGTGTAGATACTGGGATGTGTAAATCTGGCCCTCAAGGATCGCACAGACCGTACAAATCATTCTATTCTAATAATAGATCAATCAATGGAAACGGCAATTTGAGAAAACATTGGAGGAAAAGGAAAGCCTTTTGAGAAAAACGGGAAATACAATCAGTACTTTTTATTGTGGGAAGAATTCCTGTAAAAGTGGCAGCTGCCTATTTAGGACTCCGAGGACATATTAGGTAACACCTGTCAGCTCAGGCTTCTTGAGGACAGAGCTTGAAGCACAGAGTACATTTTCAAAATTAACAACAAACATCTGCAAAAGTGTAAAGTGGCCTGGCCTGGTGGTATAAACCTGTATTCCCAGCTACGCAGGAGGTTGAGGAAGGAGGATCACTTGAGGCCAGGAGTTGGAGTCCAGACTGGGCCACATAGTGAGGCCCCATCTCTTTGGAAAAAAAAAAAAAAAAAAGAAAGTAGTGGCGCAACTGAGGTGGTGGTTAGAGTTGTAAGTCTGCATCTAGTCACCCTTTAAATATCTTTTTTTTTTTTTTTTTTTTTTTTTTTTTGATATGGAGTCTTGCTCTGTCACAAGGCTGGAGTGCAGTGGTGTGATCTCAGCTCACTTCGACCTCCACCTCCTGGGTTCAAGCGATTCTCCTGCCTCAGCCTCCTGAATAGCTGGAACTACAGGCGTGTGCCACCATGCCCAGCTAGTTTTTGTATTTTTAGTAGTCAGGTTTCACTGTGTCGGCCCAGATGATCTTGATCTCTTGACCTCATGATCTACCCGCTTCGGCCTCCCAAAGTCCTGGGATTACAGGTGTGAGCTACCGCGCCCAGCCTCAATTATCTTAAAATTGTTCATAACATGCAGTCATCACCATTTTGTATGGTAACCCTATGCAGGAATTTGTCTACATTAGTCTAAAAAGAATTAAGAGGCTTTTATTCAGAAATTAAATCAATTAATTTGCTGCCTAGGACACTTCACCTTTTCAAATATTTCCACATTTGACTTTTGGCTCTCATCACCATTGTATTGTCTGGGGACAATTTTAGGATACCTTCTAAATCTTTCCTGGTCAATATGTCTCTGGGGCCACTTGCCTGTCACTCTAGAATGTGCTTCTCTCTGTCGGTGGCGGGGGAAACACAGGTGTCATTCAGATTTTCCTACCAGAGTTTTACCTGCTTATGGGCAGCGGGATCCCTGGGACTATGTAAGTCCTCACCTATAACCCCCCGTCATACCTCCCCACCTCCTCACTAAATAGAGGTGAATTTGGGAAAGTTAAGTGTGCATCTGATACTACTTCTGTGCATAAAGTCACGGAAAACTCCTTACCAGAGCCTCTTTCCTATTGACTGCACCTGATCATTACTACCTAAGCAGATATAGAGAAAACTTAGCCATGGGCTTCTCCCTCTGTAGACTGTGGAAATAAAGTGCAACTTGTTCATCATACCCTTAAGATCCTACGACTTTGGCTTTCACTACAAGACCAATAGGCTGGTATGGAGCCTTATTAAGTATCTGATATAGTATCTGACACTGTCTAGGTACTTCACACAAGTTAACTGAATTTTGTCTTAAACAAATATTCAACACCATTTTAGCCAGGATGGGTGAGTGTTCCTGAGAAGTAAAATTTGTAAAACTCACAAGTAAGTAAGGACAATAATATTTTTTATTTTTAAAAACCTGTGAAGGGTTAAAGGAACACAGGCAATGTAGGACTATGTTGGTTTTGGAACGCTGGTGAGAGTTCCTGGAGGAGGCAATGTGCCGCCTGAGTCTTACATGATTGAACAGCATGGGAAAAGAGCAGACAGAAAATCCAGATGAGGAAGAAGCCAGGTGGCGAGTTAGCACAGGAAGTCTGCGTCTTGTTTGGGGATGACTGTGGCTCAGCGTGGTATGGAGGTATTGGAGGAAGGTAGAGAAGTGGTGAAGGGTTTATAAAGATTCTGCTAAGGCATTTGAGCTTCATCCGATGGCCAATGAAAGGGCAGTTAAGGTTTTTTTAAGTGGAAAGACACTGCGATTTGCTTGTAGGATCAGCCCAGTGCATGGGTGTGAGAGAAAACATGTCATGCATCGTGTTTTGTGATGGTGGAAGCAGTTTCCATTGAAGGTTCTGTGTCTCTGCATAGGAAGGCAGACAGCTGCTGGACGGAGCTCAGTTCCACACCTGCCACCATTGTGCTTTCTTGCTGAATACTCTGCTCATCAAGTTGAGGTGTCTGGATCTGGGAGAATCCTAAAGAGAGCCCAATTGCATATCACACCCATCCCACCATTCTTGGTTTGACCCACAATTCTCCCTATGCTCCCACAATTCTGTTTCTCCAATAATTCCCTGTCTCTCCCACAATTCTGTGTATCTCCCACAATACTCTGTATTTTCCCCAATTCTGTATT